GGCCCCCGGGGGGCGGCGAGGGCGCGCCGGGGGCCGGGCAGTGAGCGCGGCGCGGCCGGGGCGGGGAACGGCTCCTTTTGGCCCAAAATGGCCGAAATCGGCCGAGAATGGGGCGGGTGGGCTGTGGCAACGAGGCCGGGGTGTCCGTCCTGATGGACAGATGGACAGATGGACGGCTGGGGTGATTGACGGCTGGGGTGATGGACAGCTGGGCTGATTGACAGATGGATGCTTGGGCTGATGGACACCTGGACAGATGGACACTCGGCCCATTGGACAGCTGGCTGAGGGACAGATGGACAGCTGGGCTGATTGACAGCTGGGCTGATTGACAGCTGGAGTGATGGACAGATGAACACCTGGCTGATGGACACCTGGCCTGATTGACAGCTGGGCTGATTGACAGATGAACACCTGGCTGATGGACACCTGGCCTGATTGACAGCTGGGGTGATGGACACCTGGACAGATGGACACTTGGCCCAATGGACACCTGGCTGAGGGACAGGTGGACAGACGGACAGCTGGGCTGATTGACAGCTGGGGTGATTGACAGCTGGGGTGATGGGCCGATAGACAGATGGATATCTGGTGTGATGGACTGATGGACACGTGGACAGATGGACACTTGGCTCAATGGACACCTGGCTGAGGGACAGACGGACAGCTGGGCTGATGGACAGCTGGTCCAATGCACACCTGGCTGATGGACACCTGGGCTGATTGGCAGCTGGACAGATGGACACCTGGCTGATGGACAGATGGACATTTGGGCTGATGGACACCTGGTCCAATGCACACCTGGACAGATGGACACCTGAGCTGATGGACACCTGGGCTGATGGACAGATGGACATCTGGCTGATGGACAGATGGACACCTGGCCCGATGGACACCTGGGCTGATGGACAGATGGACAGCTGGTCCAATGCACACCTGACTGATGGACAGATGGACACCTGGCTGATGGACAGATGGACACCTGGCCAGTGCACACCTGGTCCAATGGACACCTGGCTGATGGACAGATGGACACTTGGCCCATGCACACCTGGCTGATGGACAGATGGACATTTGGGCTGATGGACACCTGGTCCAATGCACACCTGGACAGATGGACACCTGAGCTGATGGACACCTGGGCTGATGGACAGATGGACATCTGGCTGATGGACAGATGGACACCTGGCCCGATGGACACCTGGGCTGATGGACAGATGGACAGCTGGTCCAATGCACACCTGACTGATGGACAGATGGACACCTGGCTGATGGACAGATGGACACCTGGCCAATGCACACCTGGCTGATCGACAGATGGACCCTTGGCCAATGGAGGGGTGCCGGGGTGGGGGAGGGGTGTCCGTGTGGGGGGTTCTGGGGGGGTCCCGGGTGGGTTTGGGTGTTGGGTCATGGAAAAAAAAACCCAAATTTTTTAATAATTACAAAAAATTTAATTATTCCAAAAAACCCCACAACACCGAGGTGAGACCCGGGCCCGGGACACGGCCGGGGGGGGACCCCCGAGTGTCCCCAACACCGGGGCCACCCCCAGTGTCCCCAGCACCGGGGCCGCCGTCCCTCCGTGTCACTGTCCTCGGCACCGTCTGTCCCCGCGGTGACCCGGCTCGGGACGTGTCCCCAGGGTGTCCCCACGGTGTCCTCAGGATGTCCCCAAGGTGTCCTCAGGGTGTCCCCGCAGTGTCCCTTGGTGGCTCCACATTGTCCCCTGGCTCAGGAGGTGTCCCCGTGGTGTCCCCACGGTGTCCTCACGGTGTCCTCAGAATGTCCCCAAGGTGTCCTCAGGATGTCCCCGTGTTGTCCCCACGGTGTCCCCACGGTGTCCTCAGGGTGTCCCCAAGGTGTCCCCAGGCTCAGGACATGTCCCCAGTTGTGGTCCCATGGTGTCCCCGCGGTGTCCCTTGGTGGCTCCACATTGTCCCTTGGCTCAGGAGGTGTCCCCGCGGTGTCCTCAGGATGTCCCCAAGGTGTCCTCAGGGTGTCCCCGCAGTGTCCCTTGGTGGCTCCACATTGTCCCCTGGCTCAGGAGATGTCCCCATTGTGTCCTCAGGATGTCCCGGTGTTGTCCCCGCGGTGTCCCCGTGCTGTCCCCATGCTGTCCCTGCTGTCCCCCTCGGCGCTGCCGCTGCAGGAATGGCCGCTGGCCGCCGTGGCGGTGCTGGCCCAGCTCGCGGTGCTGGCCCCAACTCCTCTGGTGGCCCTGGTGGCCCTGCTGTCCGTGTCACTGGCCCTGCTGGCTCTCCTAGCCATGGTGGCCCGCCTCGCTGTGGCGTTGGCCCTGCTGGCCGTGGTGGCCCTGCTGTCCCCAGGTGCCGTGGTGGCCCTGGGGTCCCTCCTGTCCCCTCTGCTGTCCGTGTGTGCTGCGGTGTCCCCGCTGTCCCCTCTGCTGTCTCCCCTGGTCCCCGTGCATGCCACAGTGGCGCTGCAGGTGTCCCCGCTGTCCCTCCTGTCCCTCCTGTCCCTGTCCGTGTCCCTGTTGTCCCTGTCCTTGTCCCTGTCCGTGTCCCTGTCCGTGTCCCTGTCCCTGCAGGTGTCCCGTGTGTCCCTGTCCCTGTCGCTGTCCCTGTCCCTGTCCCCGCTGTCCCTGCTGTCCCCCCTGTCCGTGTCCCTGTCCCTGCAGGTGTCCCTGGTGTCCCTGTCGCTGTCCCCCCTGTCCGTCCCTGCAGGTGTCCCTGGTGCCCCTGTCGCTGTCCCCCCTGTCCCTGTCCCTGTCCGTGTCCCTGTCGCTGTCCCTGTCCCTGCTGTCCCCCCTGTCCGTGTCCCTGTCCGTGTCCCTGTCCGTGTCCCTGTCCCTGTCCCTGTCCCCGTCCCTGTCCCCTCTGCTGGCGGTGGGTGCGGCGGTGGCGCTGCAGGTGCAGGTGTCCCTGTCCCTGTCCCTGCTGTCCCTCCTGTCCCTGTCCCTGTCCCTGTCCCTGTCCCTGTCCCTGTCCCTGTCCCTGTCCCTGTCCCTGTCCCTGTCCCTGTCCCTGTCCCTGCAGGTGTCCCTGGTGTCCCTGCTGTCCCCCCTGTCCCAGTCCCTGTCCCCGGTGCCGGTGGGTGCGGCGGTGGCGCTGCAGGTGCGAGCGCCGCTGGAAGGCCTTGCCGCAGGTAGGCGCGGCAGCGGCGCGCTTTGAGCGCCGAGTGCGCGATGCGGTGGCGCCGCAGGTAGGACAGGTAGGCGAAGCCCCGCCCACAATCGGGGCACGCGAACCGCGCGGGGGCGGGGCCGGGGGCGGGGCCCGCGCTGGCCGCGCCCCCCTGGGCCAGCAGCACGGTGTAGGGCACGCCCTGCCTGTCAATCAACAGGAAAGTCCCGCCCCCCGCGGGGGGGAGGGGCTGGGGGCGGGGTCCGGGGGGCTGCGGGGAGAGAAG